ACAGATTATATTCAGATTAAACATAAAAAAAGTACCTGAAGATTCAATTGACTTGATTTACAAAAAGCGTGATTTAGGCAAAAACTTAGCCTTGACCGTACGGTCATGAAATAATTCTTGCCTCATTGAGCGGATCTTAGCAGTTAGACGTAATAATGGCATAATTATAACAAAAAACTATAACACTGACAGCTATACTTTAATGCAAAACATTTTTTACAATTTGCCGGAAGTTTAAATGGTAACAATGCTGGCCACATTTATTTTAGTTAGATGAAAAGATAAATCGAAGATTGTAAATACGCTACACATGATTTAATAGTTCATCCTACGCGTATTCCAATATTATATATTTAGTTTGTAAACAATTTAGATGAAATAACAGGTGGCTTCTATCTTCATAAGATCTACTTTACTATTGGTACACCGTACAAAGGCAGTGGTAGCCCAGTGGTAACGCGCTCGCTTGGGAAACCGAGTGTAGCGAGTTCAAATCCCGGGTCTCGCACTTCTGATATTTTCATGTGTGAATCATTTTCAACATGATTACTACTTGTCTTAACGGTGAAGGAAAACATCGTGAGGAAACATGCATGTCTGAGAGAACTTAGCTAGTTGTCCAAAGACATGTGAAGTCCGCCAACCCGCACTTGGCCAGCGTGGTGGACTATGGCCTGATCCCCCTCGTATTGAAGGGACGTCCGTGCCCAGCAGTGGCTCGTTAAAAAGAGCTGAATACACACACCGTACAATACGATTCATATTTATTGGCGGTTGAACATCGTACGTATCGACGCGATACGCAGAACGCAATATTAGGTATCAGGAGCGGCAGAGGGACGAGACGCTGCGCTTACCTCATAGAGTATATTGCTACATATATAAAGCTTACCTGCACTCGCAAATCGCAGCTAATGTCAGAGCCGCCATTAAGATTAATTATGTTTAAACTTAGAAATTAAATATTGATCTTGATAATGATCACGTGACTGTTATATGAATAGCTGTATCTGCACGAGTAATTACTTATCGACGTTTGTTACGGTTCGCGCGCATTTGCTTACACTTTTTTAAATCTATTATTGTTTAGTAAACAAAGGATTTTTAATTACAAAATCGTTGACACACAAACGGTTCCACACATCTGCCCCGCACGACTTCTATTACTGCGGTTTAGACACGGTAATGTAATGCATAATATTACCGTGCTTTAAACCCCTATGGGCGTCAAATTAAATACCTAAAACAAAAATATCTTCATATATTTGTCAACAACCAAATTAATTCATCATATTTTAAAATTTATTAAGAGTAAAAAAAGGAAAATAAACTATAAAAAATGGGTCTAAAACGCCCTTGAAAAAAATTAAATTGTTAAAAAAATATGTGCTTGCTCGAACATTACTATTAAATGGAAACTGTCGGTTGGACTTGGGATATCGATATCAGAATTTTATCGATTGCAGTGGTAGGTAGGTACATGAAAGTTATAAATTCGAAGTTTGTATGAAAAAGCATTCGGAAATAACTTTTTTCATCCATTTAACGGAAGCAGTAAATATAGCAGAAACCTAAATAAATATGTACTTAGCTGTAATTATACATATAATTTGAAATGTAAACCCTAAAAGTGAACTATCTTCAAATTACGCGATAGCAATTTCCAAATAATCATTAGAAATTTTATTTGTTTCTTCTGGCTAATATCTAAGATGGCTAAATTGATTTAACAGAACTTTCATTATCAGATAGAAGATTTAGGAGGCAAGGAGATCAGACGTGAGCCATATTGAGTAATCATGCCTTTGATACGTAGGGTTATGCGTTAATATCATCGCAGATTAGAACATTAGAAGTTATTTGGGTATTTTAGTGCGGAAACGGGAAACTACTAAATATATTTTAATGACATATTACATGATTTTTACGTAATTAAAAGCTAAACCAAGATTTAGATTTTTAAAACATAGATGGATGGATTGTATTTTATTTTGAAAACTTGATAGATTTTTTATGAAATGGATATTATTTATGCACATACATATTATACATACATATTTTCAATTAACTAGTGCATATTTAGAATATTGTAAAGTACCATATGTATATGTAAGTCCGAAACGTACCTACGACTTACAAAACTTCATAGTGAATGTGATTTAACTACGTTACGTAAAATATTAAAATAAAAACGCATATCAAGAACACTGATCGATAATTATAGTGCTATTTGCTATAAAATTACTTTATTAATTAAATTCATTATCAAAATGAAATGAATTATTAAGATATGAATAAATTTTACCGCACTGATTGACATAGTTTTAATATCTACCATACCTTTTAATATTTTTTTAATTATTCGTCACATGAATACGAGTGCTTAATTATGTATCTTTTGACCGATTTCAAAAAGTAGGTACTTAATTCGTTTGCATTTTTTTAGTGTGTGGTGGATTTGCATTTTACACGATATCGACAATCTTGAATTAAATTTTCATCATTTTTAAAGAATATACTTACCTCAAGCGTGGTTCTTTATAAAATAAAAAACCACCCTAAAAATGGAACGTTTCCCGATAAGTGATTTTGAAGTCGGTGTACCCTTTTTTATTAAACAACTTCTTTATCAAACCGATATGTCGACATGTTTAATTAGTTTAAATTTTTTGCTAAAAGGCATTTATTTACTTTGAACTCAGCAGTAAATCTGTAGGCAAAGCGGAACCGCCTTCTTCCTCTTTCCAATTAGATAATAACTAGTTGATGAATAAGATCACGTCACAAAATCAAGGTCTAAGTTACAACTATATCCGTACCTAAACGTTCGATTTACTTACCACTGGCTTAAGTTAAGGGCCCATACTTATGACGCTCTATTATATCTGTATGTATGCATTCAGCCCTTTTTGATGTCCCACTGCTGGGCACGAGCCTCCTTTCAATACGAGGGGGATCAGGCAATAGTCCACCACGCTGGCCAATTGCGGGTTGGCGGACGTTGCACATGTCTTTTGAAAACTGGCTAGGTCCTCTCAGACATACAGGAGCAGCTCTGTCTGCTAAAATACTTTATTTATATGTATTTGCTCCACTCCCAAATATCGGAGCGTTTGTAGATAGCCTATAACCTTGCTCAATAAATAGGCTTTGAAATAAAAAAATAAATTTGACCGGTACTTAAATAGATAAGCGCGTTGAAACAAACAAACAAATAAACTATTCAGCTTTATTTATTAGTAAAGATATGAACAGCTTTTAATTTAGTTAAATAATAAATCAATATTATAAATGATAATTTGTAGAGTCGATTGTAATAAAATAATGTAGGTACATCTTAATACATTGTAATACCACCTTAAGTTGAATAATACCACCTTAAGTTGAATAATACCACCTTAAGTTGAAAACAGCTTCTCGATCACCTTAAGCATTATGTTATCACGTCGTTGATCGTCACAGTAACAATTGATCGTAACAATAATAATTGAAGCAATCATTTCTAACCTTGCAACGTAGAAAGGTAATCCACTTGGTACAATCGCGCCCCCATTTCGATAAATCTAGACCATAATGTCCTTTGAATGATTGAGGTGCAGGTGTCAATATCCAAGGGCCAAGGGCATCACTAGAAACAATGTATACACTTCTTTTATTATCCTAAACATGTCTTTGGCAAGATAAGAAGAAGCAAGAGATAAATAATAATAAATTAATATAATGTTAGGACATTAACACACATCACCATCTAGTTCCGTGGTAAGCTACGAGGCTTGTGTTATGGATACCAGATAGTTGATACACTACACATATATTACGTTAAATACATACATATTATAAATAAAAACACCCATGACTGGAGTACAAACATTCGTGCTCATCATCCAAATAGATGTCCCCAGTGGGACTCGAACCCGCGACCGCTGTTACATCAAGTAGGGTCACTAACAACTGAGCCAAACGTGTCGTCAAAGATTTTAAATAAACAATAGTATAACTGTATATTATAATGTGTGTACTAGTACAAATATATCTGTTATCAAGAAAGGCTGAGGATGCATACTATTTTTATCTTGTGCAGTGTTGAGAGTCGGTTTGAAATATCATATTATGTACCTATTGCTAATACAAAAATTCGCTTTGCCAGTATATCGAACCCTACTCGAACTACAATATTCAGTACCCTCAGCACTGAGACAGCAATCTATGTACATGTTTCATTACACCTAGCTTATTATACCTGGCTAGGTATATGCACCTTCTGCGTAAATTAAAGCTTTTGAGTGAATAAGTGTGTTTGAATGTGCCGATTTGAGGAAATCTCTGATTCAAGATAGTTTATGTCATTGACAGCGATTTATTACAGTAAAACTAGTAGATTAATAGATAGTAAGTACTATTTATATTGTTAACTCGAGTAATTAGTAGAATAATATGCAATTATGCACTTACATAAGTTTTAACGTATCGCGAACATATTTATTAGCGTTTACGAGTTTCACTTTTTATTATCTCACTGATAATGAAATACATTGAAATATAATGTAAGGAGTCTTTTAATATTTCAATAATATTAACTTTCTAGGTTTTAATTTTCTGTTAATTAAGAATGACAGCAACAGTTTGTTAAGTTATATTACGTACTATGTGCTCAAATTGTGTGTTACAGTTACTAATGACTCACGACCTTGAATGATTTTGTGTATTTTATAGGTAGACACTAGACATACTATACATATGTACTTCCCATGGTCCCATGGGTATTCCATTAATGAAATAGGGTTTAAACGGAAACTACGTCACTTTATGGCCCTTTATGAAGAGAGTACCTCCAGTGTGTAGTTTAGGTGTCGCGATAAAGAGCAAACGAATAAATACTTTTTCTCATACAAAATAATACTAAGGATTAAATATATCTTTTTCCATGATAGGATTGTCATTTCTATATGACCAATTCATATATTGATTACAGAATCAAAAGGCACCCATAGACCACTAAGATGGGGGCGATGTTCCGTAGTGAGGAGATGGCGCTGTGCCAGCTCTTCATCCAGCCTGAAGCGGCGTATACCTCCGTTTCAGAACTTGGTGAAGCTGGGACTGTACAATTTAGAGATGTAAGTAATATTGGCAATACTTTTTTAATAAGCTAAAAATAAAACTATATAAGAAAAAAAATATTTGGTGAAAAGTAAGCTATTTCACTGGCTAGACTGAATTGAAAACAGGGTATTAAGGACTCAGACTATTTTTGAGGTTATTGTATTAAAAAGTTGCTCTAATATAAATAAAGATTTATTAAAGAAAAAAATCTTGATAATGTTACTTTGTATTCAAAAGGTACTATGAAGGTGAATTACAAAAGTATGAATATGTAAACACTCAAGTATCCACTTGATCTACTTTAAAGACACTTATTATGTCTAAACACTCAACGCGTTCCATAAAAGTATCAATACTCTCCATTAATTTTAAGATATATTTAAAATAGTTCATATTTTTGTGTTTTTAACTAAAATATAAGCAATGAGCATTGTTGGACTTGCCAATCTACATATCTATAATTATAAGCTCTACCTACAATATAATATGCAGGCGACAGAAACGAAAGTGGGCTATAAGTACTAAGAAAATTAATATTTGGGCACTGACCGTGAGATGTTATTTACGTTACATAAATTAATAATATCAATTTTATTTTAACCGCTTCCATGAAAGTAAAGACAACTTTTACCTCAAACAGTTATTCCAGCTTAAGATTAAAACAGTTAACAAGTATTTGAACACTTTCTTTGCTTATATCATAAATTTTCTCTTAAACATTTTATTACAACTGTTTCATACAAAATTGCATGAACTTGGACAATCAGTCACGCAAAACCAAAGGTTAACATGTTATTTCGAAGGTGGAATCGGACAAGGTAAACGTCTTACAACTTTCGTAGGACTATATATGTGACACCTGAATAAAAGTAAAAAGTATACATTTCAAGTGATTTGAATATTTTTTTTTACTAAATGCAAGTGGGCAATCTTTCTTTTATATTTTATTTCTATTATATTTTATTTCTTTTATATTATTGTTAACCGACTTCCAAAAAGGAGGAGGTTCTCAATTCGTCGGAATCTTTTTTTTATGTATGTTCACCGATTACTCGAAGACGCCTGAACCGATTTGGGATTTTTTTTTGTTTCAAAGTCTCAGTCAAGTCATCAGGTATCTATTCTAAATGAAAATCCCCGTTTAGTTATTTTTTACATTTTAGTGCCTGGAAGTAGGTTTTTTTTGTTTTTAGTTTTTATGAGCGATTCTTTATAAATTCCTTCATGACCTACGAGTACCTAGAAAAACAATGCTACTATTAAATGCAATAAGCTAATGGCCGATTGTATATTGCAAATCTAGTTTATAAATCACATAATTACATATACCTACATACATTTTTTTAAATTTTAGTATATATAGTGCATACATTTATTTTATTATGTTTGTACCAGTTTGGTAAAATATTAGCGTATAGCAAATTTTATCAAGGCTTAATAGAATGAAACGCTCGCCTCATCCCAATATTTTACAACTTCATCTCACCTCTAAAGCAGTCAAGTTGTTGACCCTGGGAAAACGGGATTCACTGGATCTGGCAAAAACGCAATCTGAATGATTAAATGAATTCCTCCGTACAAATGGCGCGCTAACTAAACGCGTCGGTAAATGGCATTTGATTTTCTAGATAAAGATAGTCTTACGAGTTAAAGTAAGTGTTAGTACTTATTAAAAATTAGATATGCCCTGTAGTTTGTGGATATGCCTACCTATTTAAAGCGTTTTTTCTGTGATTGCTGTAATCATAAAAAAATAAATTATGGTCGAATCATTAGTTATAAATTTGACCACACGTTTGGCTCAGTTTGTAGTGACCCTACTTGCTGTGCTAGCGGTCGCGGGTTCGAGTCCTGGTGGGGGTCTTCATTTGTGTAATCAGCACGAATGTTTGTACTCTAGTCATGGGTGTTTATATTTATAATATGTATGTATTTAAAGTTATATATATAATATTGTATCAACTATCTTGTATCCATAACACAGGCCTCGTAGCTTACCATGAAACTAGATGGTGCTGTCAGCTGTGTGTTAAAGTCCCAATATATTTAGTCCCAACATATTTATAAATGAACAATTCAATGGAGATATTTAAGCAAAGCATTTCTTTACAGTTAAATCCCGACGTAAACGCATTCCAACGTAAGTTCGTAAACGAAGTTCGTCGCTGTGATGAGATGGAACGTAAATTGCGGTACATCGAGGCTGAGGTACATAAAGACAAGGTGCACGTCCCACCAGTTAAGGATATGCCGCGAGCACCCAACCCCAGAGAAATTATTGATCTTGAGGTAAGACATATTATTATATAAGGATAATTGGTGATTTATACATGTAAAACTAGTAAGTAATTTTGGTGAATGTATGTGTGTATACAGACAAGTAAAAAAAAAGTAAAAGTTCTGCCAGTAAAACACAATAATATAATTAGAATTGACAAACTCTAACTAACTTAATTATTATTTTTGAAATATGGTACAGATAGGTATTTATACAACTAAATATATTTAACAGGCACACTTGGAGAAGACGGAAAACGAAATCCTTGAGTTATCTCACAACGCCATCAACCTGAAGCAAAACTACCTTGAGCTGACAGAACTGAAACACGTCTTGGAAAAAACTGAAGCTTTCTTCGTAGCTCAAGAAGAAATCGGAATAGATTCATTGACTAAGTAAATATTTATAAGACCTTATCAATAAAATAATTAATGGAGTAGACTTTGATATTTTCATAGATAGAATAGGGATAACGAATAGTCCCCAAATGAATGTTTTAAAATGTTTGCTTCACTTAGGTAATTCAACTTCTTAGAGATTGAATCTGGTACGAAATGGACCAAATCATGTACCAAATATGTATGTACGAAATCTATTTTTTACCAGTTTGTACCTACAGTTTATTCATGTAAAAAATATTTTAATAAGACAGTCCAGCAACAATTTAAACACACACAGAATTCCGATAATCAAAATGTAATAAACAGGTCGCTAATATCCGATGAGACCGGCCAACAAGCCGCCACACGCGGCCGCCTCGGCTTCGTAGCGGGAGTTGTGCAACGAGAACGCGTCCCTGCCTTTGAGCGCATGTTGTGGCGTATATCGAGAGGCAATGTATTTTTACGCCGAGCTGAACTGGAAAAGCCTCTTGAAGATCCTAACACGGTAATAAGAGATTTTTTTGATACTTTTCAGTCATCATTTCATATTGTAATTATATGAAAGGAGTCAAGTTGTAAAACAAATAAATTATTGTACCTGTACCTAATATCATAATATATTACATAATGACTTTATGTCATCGATTTTAAAATAAAATATTTATTGCAATCACGATTGGTTATTAATCACTGAAGAAAAGTAATTAGTAGGATTTTAATAAAAACTAAGTATAATTAATTTCAACCAAAATCAAATCACAAATATTCAGTAATTATGCTATTAAATAAAATTATAAATAAGATTATTTTGTGAGCGAGTATATTTTCTTCTTTATATTGTTATTGCTGAACGGATTGGAGTGAAATACATCGTGGATTAAAATAGACTGTATTATATAGATATTGTACTTAAATATTATGAACTTATCTCTGACATGAGTGAAGGTTTGAGCAGAGTTAAATGTTGATTGCAGGTAATATGTACATTAAAATAGCATTTTAAACTCTTTATAACATTTCTAGGGCAATGAAATATATAAGACCGTGTTCGTTGCGTTCTTCCAAGGAGAACAACTGAAGTCTCGCATCAAGAAAGTATGCACAGGCTTCCACGCGTCGCTGTATCCATGCCCGCCCTCCAACACCGAGCGACAGGACATGGTTAAGGGTGTTAGGACTCGTTTGGAAGATCTTAACATGGTAAATATACGTTTATATAAAGAGTTTATGATGTCTTCTTAATTAAAAAGTAACACCGACTTTAAAATCACATAGTGGCATTTTTTTTTATTTAAATTTTAACACCGTAAGTAAAGGTGCGACCTATTTATAGAAAAAACATTAAAATCGTTGCAAAATTGAAACAGTTCGAGTAACACACACAAAAAAAACCTAAATTGAAAAACCTCCTTTATTGAAGTTGGTTAGAAATAATCAGATAAAGAACCAGTACATACTACATAGTATTATACATATACGATTAATTAATTACTATTTATAATATATTGAACGATGAGTGAAACAAAATCTCCTTGCTTTATTGTCTTCTAATGACGAGCGACTCTTGACTCTTGTATACGGTGATTTATTTAAGTACACCTAATCACTTTTTTTGCCTATTGTTATTATTTATTTTGTTATGAATGAAAATAATGGTTTTACATTACGTGCTAGGAAGTAAATAACGTTATCTGGTTAAGCCAATGATGTAATAGCAATGCATGTGCCTTATTCTTCGTCCAATTTTTTCTTACCGACAGTTATTGTCTTAGTAAAAATATTTCGATAGTCGACCATTTTGGGATATGTTTAGCTGGCATTGTTTTTTACACCTAATTAAGCACAAAATGGAAGAAATACATTATATTTTAATGAGTAATCTTCATCTTCCTCGCAATGAGAAAAAATTTCTTTTATATTACAAGAAATTTCTATACAAGCTAAAAACACGCATAATATGTAAATTGTAATAATATATAATATGTATGACGTAATTTATAACATGGTTTCCATTAGTGTCACTGAACAACACCATTCATTACCAGGTCCTAAACCAAACCCGGGACCACAGACAACGTGTGCTCATGAGCGTGGCCAAGGAACTCGGTAGCTGGTCCATAATGGTCCGCAAGATGAAGGCCATCTACCATACACTGAATCTGTTCAACATGGACGTGACTAAGAAGTGTCTTATCGGCGAATGCTGGGTGCCGACTGCTGACCTACCCAATGTACAAAAAGCTCTCGCTGATGGATCGGTACGTATTTTTAAACGCAGTTAAAACGAATCCTATAGCTATACATAAATTTTACGAAACAAATTTAGTAAACAAATATAGCGTATTTATAACAGTGTTTAAAGCTAGCAAGATAGATGATAGAATGTAGACTGACAAACAAAACATTAATTAAAGACGTTTCTCAGTTTAATTGAAGTTGTTTAAACACAATACAATGTCATAAAATCAACTCTTTCAATCTTCATAATAACGAGATTGTAGTTACCAAATATACAAACATTCAATATGGTTAATCAAATATTATTTTTATATACATATCTGTATAGACACATGAATAAAATTGAAGTGTTTGTAATGTCAAAATAACAGCTTTTTACTAAAAACATATGAAATTATTAATTATGCATATACGGCACTTACCTATAAGAAAAACAAAATTTTTATATTTTCGTCTCTCTGTCTGTCTGTTCCGACTAATCTCCGAAATGGCTGGTCTAATTTTGACTGGGTTTTCACTGGCAGATAGGAGTAACTTAGGATACTTTTATTTTATATAAAGAATTAGGATACCGCTTAAAAAAAATAAAACGTTCCTAGGGACGCACTCGATCAAAGCGAGGGTGTCGCTAGTTTAATATAACTATATAATATTTTTTATGTTGCTAAAATAACATTTAAAATATTATAGAACGCAAGTGGAAGTTCTATCCCGTCTTTCTTAAACTGCATCGAAACCGACGAAGTGCCGCCTACCTTCAATCGTACAAACCGCTTCACGCGGGGCTTCCAAAACCTCATCGACTCGTACGGTGTTGCCTCCTACAGGGAATGTAACCCAGGTAATAATAATGCATAATAATATAAACTATTGTAGAGCAGTCGTAGTATTAACTAGATACTGTCCACAACATATGTGTAGTAAACAGATGATAGCAACACTCCAATATATCGGAACCAGAACAACGTCAAATGTATTTAAGTTTATTGAAAATGTCTATAATGTGAAAAGCGTATAATAAAATTATAATGTAACATCACTAAAAATTGCTATACATATTGGCATATAGTTACAATTATTTCCATTTAATATCATTAATTTTAATTATTCCAACCGTAACCTGAGAACCTAAACCGTACAAGTCTTCAAAAACAGTAAATAATGAAAAAAAAAGTAATCAATCAAAATATTTTATCTACTATCTCAGAAATATAATAGTAATGTTTTTGCTATTTCCCAGCACTCTACACCATCATCACTTTCCCCTTTCTCTTTGCGGTGATGTTCGGAGATTTAGGCCACGGCTTGATCATGGCTATGTTTGGTGCTTGGATGGTAGTAAAAGAAGTGTCCCTCGCTGCAAAGAAGTCTAACAATGAAATCTGGAACATTTTCTTCGCCGGTCGCTACATTATCTTGCTCATGGGCTGCTTTTCTATGTACACTGGGCTAGTATATAACGATATTTTCTCCAAATCGATGAATATATTCGGAACGTCGTGGATTGTGCCGTATGACAATAAAACTCTAGAAGCGAACGCTGCTTTGTCCATGGATCCAAAAGATTCTTACATCGACACACCATACTTCATCGGTATCGATCCTATTTGGCAAGTAAGTTGTTTTTTATAAATACTAAATTTGATTCATAAAGCGACCACATAACAGAAAATTCCTAACATTTTCTATATATATGTGTTCTTTCGCATCTCTTGTAATAAAAAAAGTTGTCTTTAAGTTGTCTAGTTTAAATTTATTTTAAATTCATAACATTTATTGTATTTTTTAGACTGCGGAAAACAAAATTATTTTCCTGAACTCCTACAAAATGAAACTGTCCATCATTTTCGGTGTCGTCCACATGATTTTCGGTGTCTGCATGAGCGTCGTAAATTACAAGTAAGTTTCTGTTTAAACAATTATCCATTTAACCAATTCTTTATAGTAGTTGAAATAAACAATTTAAAAAAAGAAATTTAAATAAGCGTATTTTAGTACTAAATCATTGTGTTCTTCATGGAATTATTGATACCAAAACTTTTGGTTAAAAATCTGTATTCTGACCCATGTGGTAATTTGGTTTCTTATTGATAATTTTTTCTTATTCATTCATTATTTTTCATTGAAACAGCTTCTTCAAGCGCCGCTACTCCATCTTCTTGGAGTTCATCCCCCAGGTCGTGTTCCTGTGTCTGCTCTTCTTGTACATGGTGTTCATGATGTTCTACAAGTGGGTTTCCTACAGCACTTTATCTAAAGGTTAGTCACACCATACGAATAACAATTTAGGTTATAATTTAGAAAAATGACTATACTTTTTTTTTAAATACCGTACGATTATTTCTATCAGTTTGCTAAATTATATGATAGTTACCCATTTATGTTAGATAGTTTTTGTTGCATAAAAGTCGTTTGAAATATAAATCAAGTCTTAAGCAGATTTTATTAAATAGTAATTTTTATCGTTTAAATGGTTATAAAAAACCTTTTATAACAAATTTATTTTCGAAGCAAAAAATCTAAATATCTAGATGCTATTCTTTCTTTACAGATATAGCCTATACCCAAGGGTGTGCACCTTCAGTCCTGATCCTGTTCATCAACATGATGCTGTTCTCTAGCACCGAGCCCGAAGGCGGCTGCAAAGAGTTCATGTTCGAAGGTCAAGGCACCATCCAGCGAGCGTTCGTCCTTGTGGCGCTGTGCTGTATACCAATCATGTTGTTCGGCAAGCCATTATACTTACTCTGTGCGAGTAAGAAGAAGAAGCCTGCTAAGGTTTGCAAAGAATTTTTATAATAATCTGATCTCATATTTTTTGTTTGAAATAAAATTTTAATCTAATCTCGCAATAAAAAAAGAAAAATCGTTTAACACAGACTCTTATATCATTTGTAAATAATTAAAGGATTCTAAAAGAAGTCTCTATCAGTTATTGTATGGATAAAATGAAATATCACAGATACGAAAAACCTCGCACTTTAACATTTCTACAATATATCGCTTCAATTCCTACAAAGAAACTATTTATTAGCAATATCATAACAAGTGAAAGTTTTTTTTCAGCCTGAACAGCCAAATGGAAACGTGAACCAAGGCATTGAGATGCAGGAACAAACAGACATCAGCTCTGCACCTAAGCCTGAAGCCAAGTCGTCCGGAGGCCACGACCATGAGGAGGAACCCTTTAGCGAAGTTATGATTCATCAAGCTATTCACACTATTGAATATGTACTCAGTACTATTTCTCACACCGCCTCGTACCTTCGACTGTGGGCTTTGTCTCTTGCTCACGCAGGTAATTATTCTCTTTTAATATGAAACCTCGTTTAGAAATGTTAATTGGGATAGAATATTTTTGATTATTAATTCTACATCTACCAATCATATTCAAAGTGACTCATCAGTATTCTTACAGTGATATATTTTGGGTTACATGCTTTTGGGTGTTGTAGTGTACTAAATTTAGTTCCGATCCGTCCAGCAGTTTCTGCGTTAAGGACGTAACAAGCACACACACACACACACGCACACACACACACACACACACACACACACACACACACACACACACACACACACACACACACACACACACACACACACACGCACATGCACACACGCACATGCACACACACTCATACATACACATGCACCCACGCACACACGCACCCACGCACGCACGCACGCACGGACGCGAATAGAATAGAACTTTTTTTGCGTAACACTACTACAGACACAAAATAGTAATAGCCCGATTATTATTATTATATTTTATTGTTACTTTTGACTAAACGTTTAATTAAACATTTGCAGAATTATCCGAGGTACTATGGAGCATGGTGCTCAGATTCGGTCTGCAGGACCACGACTACGTGGGCGCCATCAAGTTGTACGTAGCGTTCATCTTCTGGTCGCTGTTCACGCTCGCCATCCTCGTCATGATGGAGGGGCTTTCAGCTTTCTTGCATACATTGCGTTTGCATTGGTTAGTATATTTCTTCACTTCTATCTTTGCCATAAAATCACTAAGATCCGAGACATTAGAGAAAGATGAATGAATCGCTCATCAATTAAAGGATTTTTCTTCCATATAAGAAGGCCATCAAATATTTATTGTATAGCATTCCAATAATTAAGGGGTCTTTTGATGTTGTCATGTGTACATATGTATTTCATTTTAAAAGGGTTGAATTATTCGACAAATAGTTTAATTAAAATTTTATTATATTTAATTTCCCTAATTATTTTTATAATCAAAATCCTTTAAATAATGAATATTTTCCATTGTATTGCGACTGTCTCCAATAAAGTTTGTTTGGATATTTGAATATTAACATTAAAATGTCACTTAAATTCTAATTCAACAAACAGGTAAACAGTTTTAAAAATTATATTTCAGGGTGGAGTTCATGAGCAAATTCTACTCAGGTCTGGGCTACATCTTCCAGCCTTTCTGCTTCAAGACAATCCTCGAACAAGAGGACAATGAAGATTAGAGTTAAAAAAAGTATTCTTTTGAATAAACCGTAGTGTAGATCGCAACAGTATTGGCATACAAAATTTAAATGCAATAGGTGCAAGGTCACTATTCATAGTTGTTGAATAAAAAAATTTTTGTGTATATTTACTTGGTGTTTTATTTAGTTTTTTAATGGGAAATTAACATACATTTATTTTACTGTACATATTTACTATTGTAATAGATGAAAAACTTAACATAAGAATTCCATATTTTGTTAACTAATTATTCTAGAAAAAAATTACATAAATAAATCATTTTTATAACAAAATTTAGTCATTTTTTAAATCAATATATGTGCATTCAAAACATTTCATACAAGGACGGCTTGAATTATAAATCTCTTCTACAGAATAAAGTTTACACTTTAAATTAAACAACAGATAATATAACAAATCAAAATATTTGTTTTAATGAAATACAAACATACCTGTGACGAAATATTGACAGTTAAGTTCTTAAATTAGTTTTAGCCTTTTCAAGTATGTCCTTCTTAATCTTAGGATAGTCTGGATGAATTTTTAAAATATGTCTACAAACGACAATGCATTCTGGATATTTTTTCATTTTTAAATAAGAATAGGCCAACTTGTATCCCACAGCTAAATCGTTCTTTCCCGTGTGTATCCAAGCCTTATCGTAATTAAAAGCTGACATTTTATAGTTTTGCTCCTTTTCTGCTATGAAACCTAAAAAGTTACGTCAAAATTATTAAATATTACATTTTAAAATTCATTCTCGTTGTTTCAAATTAAAAATTGTACTCTGCGGTTTGCACTTGGAAGGTGGTTGTATAATAAGCACAATTATTGTTCCATTACGTTATGGCTTACGTAGCCAAAAGGCAAACATGGATCCCTTATAATTTCAACACCGTTTTATTACTACTTTAGAGCAAAATTTGGATAGAGAAGGTGTCTCATGTCAACCGCCAGATACTATTATAGTCAAATATTAACAAAAAAATAAGGAGTGTCTCTCCATACTAATAAATAAAATAAAAATGAAATATATTCGTTTTTTCATCAATCATGTCTGTCTCATTTTACCCCTATTTTTCTACAAATAGCCTCACATATAGTAGCTAACATACATTTTACCATATATAATATCAGTAAGAACAGTTACGTAATAATTATTACCTAAATATTGATATGCAGCTGCGCAGGAATTGTTGTGATTTATGATTTTAGTTAGAATCTCTTTAGCAGCATCCATTCTACTAGAACTTATTTGATTATCTGCAACTTCTAACCAGCATCTGTAAACAAAAATATTAAATCCATACAAATATTATAAAATATGAAAATTTGTGAGAATGGATGGCTGTCAATTACTCTTTCACGCCAGAACGACTAAACGGATCTGGATGAAATTTGGCACAGAGATAGATTATAGCCTGGAATAGCACATAGGTTACTTTTGATCCCGGAAAAATGTTCGGTTCCCGTGGGATAGATTTGTTATTGTCTAGGGACAAACCCGAAGCGAGGGTAGGTTGCTAGTGTTGTATATTTATGCATATGTATAAGATATTATTACCTTTCTAAGCCATCTGCTTTTTCTGGTGTCCAAGGAATAGAAGATATCGTCCGTTTGAGAATATTTTTAGCCCGAGTTGGTTGTTTCACGATGTTGTACCTAAAACATAAATAAATAAAATAGAAATATTACTAAGGGAATCACACTCTTCACCATTTTTTTATTTACTTTCATAAGTATTTCTTCCCGCCAATAATAAAAGACATTTTCTATTCATTTGTTTTTTTACCTAAATTTTATTTTTATTTTATTTGACCTAAATATTTAATTTAGTATAAACGAAAAATCTAAATATACATTAAATCGTTTGAAGACCAAAAGAAATATTTACGAACGCCCAGCAAAGCGGTCAGTCAGATGATGGCTTGTACAGCATATAAACTATGACCATTTTGAATTTTACTGAAATCCTTTGAACCGTTAAAGCGTGAAGAATTAACAAAAACTCTTACCAACAATTCTTCGCATATGTAATGTTAGCATCAGGATATTTTAACTGACCAAGTTAAATTAGTAAAGTGCACTAAAATCTAGTGAAATCCAAGATAACTTACGCATTAGCAATGGCCAATATAAGGTAGGGGTCATCTTGATAGCCTTCCTCAGCGGCCAGTGGTAGTATTTCGTTCAGCACTCGCTCGGCGCTGGACTTTTGTTTGGTAGCGAGCTGTAAAAGCGCTTGAAGCGCTTTACGTTCCATCGGCGATACTTCTGTTAGGAGTTTCTCGGCTGTTCTAAGAGCTAGTAGACGTGTGTCGCTAAAAGTAGTAATAATATTGTTTTGATATTGAATCTGTGGGATTGAACTTTTCAATTACGTAGAAAATGGTGAAAATAATAATAATCGATTCTGATAAAATCAAAAAATGTATCGCAATTTTTTTTTAAACCATAGTTTTCAATCCGATATTTTATTATATTTAAATGTGTGTATGTTTTTAGCGGCAACATATACACATGTTAAATGTCAAATATAAAATTAAATATTGACATGACGATGCATAAAGTACTTATATTTTGATTCGATAAATTATTTTTTGTTTATATAGCTATCAAAATTAATTTCCCTACTTTTACAACTAATAACATTTTATAAAATACAATAATATTAAATATATATGAAATAAACATAAAAAAAAGCTGCACATCCCTACAAGAGAAGAAACAATTATTACTAAATAAAAAATAAAAGGGGCATTACGTTTCATCATTAGCGACCAGCGCCTCACTGAGCGCGTCGGGAGAGTTCTGCTCGAGGCAGAGCAGCACCATGCGCTTGGCCGCGCTCTGCGTCCAGCGAGCGGACCTGCGCGCCTGGTTCAGCTGACGGAGGGCCGCGTTCACTTTGCCCGAGTACATTGAGTATATACCGACACAGTACGAATAGCCTGCAGGTACATATTAAACCTTTACAATACATACAAATATAATGAAGTGTCTGTTTGTAATGACGATATAAAAGCAGTAATTAGTTACTATATATAGGCTATTTTATTTTAGAAAATGAATTAGGGTTCTGCTCAAAGAAATTAAAACGTAAATATGGACGTAACCGAGCGAAGCGAGATTAAGTCTTTAGATAATAATAAAAATAGCCTTTATTTCTACTACACATTATTTTGGTTGTACACCTTATTTTCTTATTCGTTGTTAATACACACATAAAGATAATTGAAGTGTCTATCTGCGATTCCAAAATAACTATTTTTTTCTCATGTACATATAGTTATTTCAATGAAACCAGTACCTGAAAACGTTTTATAAAATTTTTGTCTGTCTGTTTGTCCGGAGTATTCTTTGGAACGGCTTAACCGATTGTGAAAGGACTTTCACTAAAAGATAGAAGTTTATTTATTTATTTATTAAATTCACCAGTGGCAATTAGAACATTACAATTTATTATTATATACAAGTACAATGGTCCTGATAGCTAAATGCATTACCTTTTAAGTGAATACCACATGCAATAAATAATAATAGGGCTACATATATGAAATTTTCCGAAAATATTTAGGGTTCCAGCTAGAAGATCAGCTTTTTAATTTAGTATTAAACTAAACAGATACATGGGCCTTAATAAATGTACTTTTGGACTACATTTAAAACAACAGATATTTATCATCCATATCAAGATGGAATGATACTAGAATAGTTTCAATTAACGAAAATACAGACACAAAACCACAAACAAAAGCAAAATATTTAAAATACTAAATCTCACCAGTATCATCTTGATTTTCCATCATATTCTTAGCGTTCTCTATAACCTGTTCCACGTCGGCCAACTTTCCGCGACGCCATTGCACTTCTATGAGTTGCGCGAGCGCCTCCCAGCTCGTCGCCTTCACTGACAGAATCTGTTCTAAATGACGTTGTGCTGTTTCTAAATCTACCTGAAGATTAAAATTTCAATATTATTGTAAGTCTTTTAGCTATTCAACGTCCCATTGCTGGGCAAGGGTCCCTATAATGCCAAGGGGGTCAGGCCATAGTCCACCATGCTAGCCAGGTGCCTGATGCGAGTTGGCGGTCTTATGATGTATAATATATGTCTTTCTACACTACGTATCAGTGCTTCTTTGTCCAAACGACAAATTTACCGACAGAGCCTTTAATACAGAATTATTGAGTTTTAAACGTTAATTTTATTGCTTTGTAATATAAAATTTTACTTTACAAAAAAGCAGAAAAAACTAATTTTATCTATATATGTATATAAATCTTACAAATAAAGTTTTGTTTTTTAAAATAGAGAAAAAACTCTACTATAAAGTACAACAAGTATTGGTGGTTCAAACAAATAAGCACTGGCGACGGACTTCTTTCGTTCTCTCAGTTATGTAGATTTCCTCATGATGTTTTCTTTCACCGGAAGGTTATCATGTCGAAAATAAATCGCCCATGAAAATATCAGAAGTGCGAGACCCGAGGTTTGAACTCGCTTCCCTTGGTTTTTTAAGTGAGCACACGAAGTTAAATATGTTATTCTTATTTTTTTATGTATAGAATAAAGTAATCATGAATTGATGATATCAGTAAATAATAACGGCCACAGCGGTCATTCTCACTGACACTAGCCATCAGCGGGGGAGATATTATAGTGAAGCGCGCGCGCGTGCGAGTGAGAGCGCCGGCGGCTGTACGTGCTTTCCGAGGCACGGGGATGAAACACCGCCAACTTCCCAACTCCGGGCTATTACTGAGAATATGTTAACAGAAAGACTGAATAACTAAATTTGGCCTGACGCGCAACTCGAACCCAGGACCTCTGGATGTCCAGTAATAATATTAATCAGTCCTATTAGAACTGTCACAAGAAACATAAAATTTTAGATTTTTATTATAGGCCTTTCGCAAACCGTTATCGTCTTAAAATTCAAAAAAATAATATTTACTTTTCGAAATGCCAAATCAGCCATCATAACTGCTGCTGATTCATTATTAGGGTCTGCATTGAGTAGCACAGCGCAGGTTTGTTCACATCTTTCTGGATTGTTCATCTGTAAGAAAAAATAATGATTTTCAACAACTTTTGTTTTCATAAAAATATATATATGAAAATCTTCATAGGCAATCTTCTGTGTATTTTTAATTTATTTAACTTAGGTTCTTATAGCATCACGGAAGTCCCCCGTGATGGAATAAATCAGCGAAAAAATTCGAAAGGATTTATTTAAAGCAACGATTGATCGATTAAAACTTTAACCCGGTAGTCCTTCATATATACTTTTCAGATTTTTTGTTTATTTTATACATTCATTTCTCTAGAAGCCGTGGATAAAAGCTAGTAATTAGTATAACCAAAGCATTCTATACTAACTTGTGCATATAACTTAGCTAAGTCCAACAAAGTATTAGGATCTCGTGGTACATGAATCAACGCTTCAGAATACAAATTAGCAGCAACAGCTGGTTCCTTGATACTTTTAATTTTCGCCAACGAACATAAAATCGTTGACAACCGCTTCTTTTCTTCCTCCAAATCTCCTCTCGACTCTATCTCTGTTCTCTTTAAAACCGCCATTTGCAAATCTTTAGCTTCTGCTAAGATTAAGTTTGTGTTGGTTTGAGGGGCTTTCATATCACGGCATTTTGCTTGAGTGAGTAACAAGCGTATGCGTCGTTTTAAAGTATTTATGTCTTTTTCTTTATTGTACACTTGATTTAGTTCCGAAGATATTATTGAATCCACTTTGTTGTACTGTTTTAGCTAAAAAAGAGAGAACATTTTATATGTACATTACCTACATGAAACTATTATAGACAACCGAAGTAGAGCCGTATTTTCATTGGTCAAGTTTTTAAATATATTATTCATACCTTTGACAGTGTGTTTATTGATATGAAGAATTAGATTACTTTTAAGTTTTAACCCAGTACATTGTATTAATTCGATAGAATTTAAAGAAAAAAAATATATATTCGCGGAATTAAAAGTTAGGAACAGCGTGAAACGAAATTAGTTGCTAATTTTGTATAAAACATACCTTCATAAGTAATTCTAAATATTCAAATTTCAATTCATCATCGTTCAACAGCTTAATGGCGTTTTCGTAATGTTGTGCCGCTTTATCATACTCGTGCATCTTCACTAACGCGAGCCCAAGTTTCTTCACAAGCTGGATGTCTTTAGGATTTCCTTTATATGCTACTTCGTATGACTCGACTGCTTGTGTGGGTTCTACAATAAAGAAAATAATTTATATTACAATCAAATTATTATAAAAATTTTAGAAATAATTTAAGAATACAATGCAAAAAAATAAAAGAAAAAAAGGCAGTGGTAGCCCAGTGGTAACGCGTTCGCTTGGGAAACCGAGAGCAGCGGGTTCAAAACCCGGGTCACGCGCTTAGGATATTTTCATGTGCGAATCATTTCCAACATGAAAAATGTTCCAAACAAGTTGGGAGGGATTTCTAAGCAATTGTTGCAAATGGTCACCAAATTTGAAGCACTAAGAATTGACTTTATTTTTGATGGTGTGTAATAAATGCTATGCTAGCAGTCTTATAAATCATTTAATTATTACCCAACTATTATATATAAAAATCAGCTTTTATACTATATCGTAAGTAAAATTATGATTTCATGAAAAGGGTGTCTTGCAAGGGTTTGCCACGATGTTAAGTGTCTGGCATTGAATGACGTGATTTTTAATAATATTCTGAAGGCAATACCGAAAAATCACACTTTATTATTTGACGAATTTAGATCGGTATTTTACACACCTTTAGTACCGTGTACCTGCCAAAGCCACCATAGCCTGAACTTCATAATGGTCCATCATTCTTACCTGTGTTGGGAGCATGCGCTGACAACCTTTCAGCTTTTATAAAATGACGAAGGTCTGGCGTTCACAGGCTCTTAGGTCATGAAGAGAGTATCTTTATTCTCTCCTCAGAACTTATAAAACAAACAGCGCATTATAAATTAAAAAATAACAATAACCTCACCATGAATTGACATATAAGCATCGCCCATCATCGTATGAGCGTCTGTCATGGGATGATTGTTAACTATATCTCTGAAACAAGATGTAAACATTGCTCTGTCGTTTTTCTCTTTCAAGTATATATGCGCCATTTTGCTATGAGCTTGAAAGTAATAAGGCTGGCCAGGTTTGACTTCGTTAAGAATGTCTATGGCATTGTCGATATCGCCTTTCTGTAAGGCTAAGTCTGCTCGAGCTATAAGTAAACGGCTTTCTTCCGATGTGTAGGATATTTCCTGAATGGCTTCCTAGAAGAAAAAAATAAAAATAATAATATAAGTACAAGCTAATAATAGTAATCTTACATATAACTTTGAGACATTTACTGTTCATATTTTTTATATTGTAAGAGAACAATATAATTAAAGAATATTTCATATAAAACGAAATAAATAACATGCAGAATTCTTAAAGGAAATCATTTTTATTGCAAACTAGTTTTAGCTTGTAAGTTTATCTTAAATATATTCTAGGCAGTGAGTGCTGTTTTGACTAAAGAAATGCTTTATTGTAAAAAATATTGTTTAATTCATAATATTTTCAATTAGTTTATCAGGAATTTTGCTTAGTATATATAGCATGAGGATTGTATTTTTCATATATTAAAGCAGTAAATAAAGCTTATCCAGATTGTTTAACCCATGAAAGACAAAAAAAAACGTTTCCATAGATTAAGGCAGCTTTTGCATTAAAAGTTATATATTTTTGGATCAATTTGAAATCTTACCTGCATAGTTTTACCTGCTTCCCCTAATAGTCCCAAAGTTGTTTGCAATTCAATGATTTCCAGAAATAATGTAGCTTTATCTATTATATTTAGATCAGATTCATTATGCCTGCTTATATTGCTTCTACTTGTCAATATTTGTAGACTCGTAGTAAAGCTGGATAAGGCATCTTGCAATTGATTCATATTCTTCAGAATAATACCATTTAAGAAATGGTACATGGCACTGTCACGGACTTTGAAATTATAACTTAGACACATTTCTAAGCATTGGGCTGCTTTAGTAAAAGCTCCCTGTTGGATATAAATTTGAGCAATCAAAACTTGGCTGCCGGCATGAGTGTTGTCAATCTCACCCACTTGTTGGGCCAATTTTAGAGCGTCATTCGCATAACCAAATGAAAATTTCAATTTTGCTAGTTCATACAAAGCTGTCAACAAACCTGGACATGAATTGCAAATTGTATTTAATAGCTTCATGCAATTTGATACTAAAGTATTACTTTCTTCTTGTGAATATAACAAATGGCCAACAATCACGAGTGGCTTTTTGGGTAAATGCTTTTTGTATTCTTTATATACTTCCAATAAAAAATCAGGATCCAAATTTTTAATGTATGTTAAGCTGTAGGGATGAATATCAGCCTGAGCAATTTGGGCATCTATTGCTTTGTTTAAGAATGATACAGCATTAGAATTCTTGCTGTTCAATTGAGCTGATAATAAATATAGTATTGGAAACTTTTGGTTCCCTTGCATTTCATACAAAAGTTCAATTTGCTGAGCTATTTGATCAACTGGGCCATTTTCAAACATTTGACATAAAGTTAGTCCACATAATGCAGTTATAGAGTTACTATCAATTTTGCTGGCAGCTTTGAAGAAATTTAAGGAGTCTTTATATTTCCCTTGTAAAATGCATTGATAGCCGACTTCACTTAAATAATCCACATTGTTTGAATACATTTCTGATGCATATTGGGCAAATCTAAATACTTGAGAAAGAACTGCACTGGACCTTCCACATATTTTAGAAAATAATTGTGCTGTATCAAAAAAAAGAAATCCGTTACTGGTTTCTTCCTCCTGTAGTACAGTGAAAAATTTATTAAGTTGATCAACTGCTTCAATGTAATCTGAATTTTTACAAAGCGCTATAAATATTTTTAATTTTAGGGCCTCTATATTTGTTGGTTCCAACGAAAGTACTCTTTCTATTGCATCGTATACTGCATCCCATTTCTGGGTAGCAAATTGATTTTTTAACTTTTCTATGATAGGCACAACTTGACCTGGATTATTAACTATTAGTTTATCCAATAATAGGTTAGAAGCATCAAAATCTCTTGCAAAATATTTAAACTTTGCCAATCCTAACAATGCCTCAACATTTCTATCACTTTTCTGTAAAGCTAATTCTAGGCAATCCAGAATTGAAGTTTGAATTTCACCAAGATTCAAATACATATTATTCCATCCTTTGAGAATTATAGCATCAATATTATTAGGGTCCTTTTTTAGGCATTTATTTACATATTCTGAGGCTTTTTCATATTTTTCAGCGAAAGACAAAAATAAACCAGCATAATAGAAGGATGAGGCATTTGCTTGCTTGCGTTCTTCTTTTAACTTTGATTCTAAGATGTACAAGTCATCTCTTTCATAAGTACTAATTTGTTTATATCCATATATTAGACACATAACTATAGCAAATTTTAAATCTCTATCAGATTGTAAAGGTGTTAAGTCATTAATTCCTATTTGAACTTGCCCTTCCAAGATATTAGATAAACCATGATAAAACAAAAATTCTACATTTTCATTATAATGTGATGAAGCTTGTTTAGAAATAGTTTTAGCTTTCCCATAACTTTTTTCTCTTAAATAATAATGTATGTTACACCTATACCACGAGATATCCATTTTATTCTAAATCTAATTGAACTTGAAGGTTTTTAAAATTGTTTATATTATCTTCATAGTACTTGGCAAGAAAGTGGCACTTGCAAATTACATCCAAAGTGTTCTCCAGTGCAAAACCAAATGCATGCTGTCAAAAAGAATTTATATTATTATTTAGATGACCTTTTGTATACTAATATTATAAAGAGGTAAAAGTTTGCAAGTTTGTGATGTTGTAAGGGGTAATCTCTGGATCTATTACACCGATTTAGATGAAATTTGGTAAGAAGATAGTTTGACACCCTGTAAAGGTTATAGGATACCTTTTATCCCGGAAATCATCCCTTAAAGGGGTGAAAATGGGGATGAAAGTTTGTATGGGGATTCAAGCTAGGGAGAACCAAAGCGAAGTGAGGGTGAGTCGCTAGTCATTTTATAATTTAACATAAGGCAAAGAAAATCATAAAAAATATAATATATGAAATAAGAATTAAAATTTTGACTTTTAATTTTTACAGACCAATAGAAAAAAATAACATTACAAATATATAAACCATATAATTATAGTCAATATGAATGTTATGTATTTTTTCTTTATTCATTGTTTTATTATAGGATTAATAATTAATATCATTATAATTATAATATGACATGGTACTCACTTGAGCTAATAACTTCCCAACACATTTTCCTTGAAATTCCTTTGGTACATTTGTGTGAATGAAAGTTATTTGCTTATCTTTCTTGTCATAAGTTATTGTTGCCTCTGCTGTAATAAAAATATTTAACATAAACGACATTTACTTATAAACTTGTTATTAGGATTAAAATTTTATGATTTCTTTAATTTAAATATTGCAAAGTGAGAATTGGTAATTAAATATTTTCTAATAAATGTCTTACTTGTCTTATTTAAGAAAACGTAGGCGAATGATCAATGAATTGAAATAGAAGATTTACTAACCATTTTTAAGAGTCACAACAAATTGTTGCTTAGCAACATTATTGACAACCTTCAGCGCTTGTGTAGAGAAGGCTCTGGCGCGAGTTATCATTCCAGACATGGAATAGTATTAGTTTTAATTCCTTTATAAAATTATAAAAACTGTAGCTTACTGCGCCCTAAATATCCTCAAGATTGATATTTGATACAATATAATTTACACAGAAACACAGAACACTTTACTCAGGTGCACAGAAAATAATTGTCAGTTGTCACTTTACCGGTTTGACAACTGACATATCCGCTGACATTTATGATATTAAATCGTAAAATTCGGTTTAACGCATAGAGCGTTAATTTAGTTCGTAGAGTTAATTAGAGTTAATGTTTTTATTATTTTAAACTGATATAGTTAACTCAAAGGTACAAATGCTTTGGAATAACTTTTGTTTGTAACTGATTTCAAATAGTATTTTCTAATCGTCTCTAATTAACGTTGATTGAACTCGTAACTTCCGACGAGGTGGTTCGAGCTTGGATGTGAAATTAAAATTAAATTGTGGGAGTAGAGTGTCTGTCAGCCTATTCAAAAATCAAAAAAATATTGGAGTCTAAGCAAGGGAAATAGTACCGTACCTTCTATGAGGAACAGAGTGGTCGAAGCAAGTCTTGGTTTTTTTTCATAAGGATGTCATTTTCTCTTTTAACCAGCTGATAAAACGAACGATATAAGAACTCCTGCTTATTTACATACGTGAATTTATGGCACAGAATAAAAAATACAAGCTTTTTTCTCTGTATTTAAGAAATGATACCATGAAGGATCAATTCTAAATACATAGTTCTTGAGGTTCCTTAACATATTATACTAGCGACTCATCCTTGCATCGCTCGGGTTTGTCCTTAAGTACGTTTTAATTCTTAGTATGGGATAGATAGATTATGTATTAGTATATACATAATGTGATGACTTTTATATTCCTTATTTCTTTACATATAAACTTTCATCCCCCTTTTCACCCCCTTAAGGGATGATTTCCGGGATAAAAACTATCCTATGTGATATGTCCTTTCCAAGGTCTTCAAACTGTCTTATATTATACCAAATTTCATCTAAATCGATTCAGCGGATTTTTAGTTTATCCATTACAAAGTCACAAATTTACAAACTTTATCTCTTTATAATATTAGTACCTACATATATTCTATTAAGTTCTAAGGAAGACAGAACTCGTAAATATGCGTGGCTTTAGAATCTTCGTGTTCAGTGTTTTTATAGGTTATTTATTATAATTGTTAATCCAATATCCCTGAGTGATTTTATTTTAAAATAATTACATTCGTGCTGAATTTTCATTAGTAGCTTTATTTTACGAGACGCCAAACTTTTTTTCTCTGAAAATTATGATCGATAATATAGATAGATATATAGATAATTTTTAAGATCGATAGAATTGGTTAAGGGGACGCTTTTTTCAGATTCCGTTGGGGGGGTCCCCTAGAGTCCCTAGGTTAATTCCCCATACAAACTTTCACCCCCTTAAGGGATGATTTCCGGGATAAAAACTATTCTATGGCCTACCAATGTCTCAAACTAGTATCTCCTTACCAAATTTCATCTAAATGGGTTCAGTAGTTTTGAAGCCTATTCGGTACAAGCAAATAAACAAAATATAATCTTTCCTCTTTATAATATTAGTATAGATATAAAACAAATGTTTTTTCGAGTTAACAAAATTGATAATTTAGACATTCGCCTTTTAGACATAATAAACACAACATATGTAGGTACCTACGGGCGTTCTAAATGCATGAAACCTTTAGAAGCAAGTAAACAAGGCAGAAAATAATATATTTAAACAATTTTACCTACGTACCTACCTAATAGGTACCAGTCACGTAAATACTTAGAAAATAAATATTAAATTTAATATTAAATATTGTATAGATAATAACGTTTAACAAATTCAGAAGAAGTTATATTACAGTAAAGTCTGAAATTCATAGGCGTTTTAAAGCCACCAAGACAAAGCCAATAAAGACGTCGATGATATCATTTGAACACTTTATTTACAATTGCTATTTAATTGAAGTGTCATGAAAAAATATCATAATGCGACAAGTGTTGTATCTTCGTCGCGAGCGGTGAATAAATAGAAAACTGAAATTTTAACAATTGGATCTAGTTTCTACCCGCGGCAGCGCTCTGCAGGGATTTGTATTGCTTTATTAGTACTTACCTAATTGTTTGTCCTTCAAACATCATATCATCCAAACATCTTTACATTTGTGAACATTTGTAATATATTTTATTTTTAGGATAAAACTCTCAACATATTTTTTATCACTTATCCCGTACAGACTCTTTCTTTCACACCAGAGATATCCTTCAGAGACCATTTGTATACCTAAACGATAAAATATTGCCATGATATCTAGGACCTATTGTGTAGTTTTCACACAAAAACTGAAATTTTATACAAAAACTGGGGAATATGCCTTATGGGCATATTTAGGGATGGATGATAATATGCTCGAGTAAGGATAATCTGGTATGTTATGTTAGTAATTGGTATGCAAGATTTTTATCATACTACTATCCCGTTCCCGGATGAACTTTTCGATTTATATTTTTTGATTTATTCTTCATATTTAAAACATTAATAGTGATCTGACTTGCCGTGACACGAGTCAATGATTGTTTAATTAAAAGTTGTTTTGGTAACAAAAACAAATTCCGAAAAGCATTTCATTTCAAAGAACTGGTGTCTTGTAACAAAATACGACAAGTTCCCTTTAAGTTAGGGGCACGCGATGTATGGCATGAGTCAATCAACAGCTGTGCAAGGTCCGCCGGTGTTCACGGCATGGTGCGCCCGCGCAGGTTACAGTCGTACATAGAGCGCAGTGCGCGCTACGCGCCCCGTCACCCACCGTTAGCAGGTGCGGCGTTGACCGATAGAACCTCGATCACATGTGAATTGAGATAACATACTTCTTTATAATATACTTCTTTATTAGTGTTTTAGTTGACTTGTGTTAATTGAAAAATATATAATTTTTTAAAGATTTTTTTTAATGTAATTCATTATAGTACAGCTGTTATGTCAATATAAACACGTACTTCTATAGGTTGCAAAATCCGAAACCTGCGAGATACGATATCAAAGCACGTTTTATTTTAGACAGGTATTACATACTTAATTTTTTTTATTTTGTTCCTAATATAATACAAGTTTTTCCTTTAAATTCTTTAGAAGTGAAATGTAAATAAATACAATGTTAAATCAAACACAATTGGATAAGCTACCAATAAAAGAATAGAAAATGTCAATTACTGTAATAATATGGATTCCAGTGTTGTGAAGTGGTTTTATAAAACTAATTGAAGTGATTGATGTCTGTGAATTGTTCCCAATTTGTGTATCCGTGGGAGCGGGCTTATGGGGCAATGTGTATCCCGGGACCATCCGGGCCCATACGCGTTCGCGCGTCACTACGATGCCGATAGCCTCGCCAGCAGCGTCAGCGGAAGTACGCGGAGAGTAAGTACCTCACTCTAATAAATAATAATAAATAAATTGAATGAAGCTAGATCGCTTGTAATTTGAATATTGCATGGAGTCACCGGGTAAGAGACAATAAAATTCTATGTCACGTCGTTAATGTTGATAACGATAATATGTTAACAAAATACTAACAGATAATAATTACTGTAATGCTACTATGTTAATTTATTAAATATCTTATGAAAATACCATAACATTTTCAAAGGAATTGTGTGTTAATAAAGTGAAAAATTACACTTATGGCAAATCTTAAAAGTTAGGGTTGCTAAGATATATGTTATTTAGATAATTTACTTAGTTTCACTGAGTTAAAATAACAATGGAGTCATAAAAACCGTTAAATGTTTGTAAGCATTGTACACATTATATCTCATATAGTATCAGTCATTCATTCATATTTTTTCAGTCATTTACGTGAAAGAAAATCTATACATATAATAAAATTGTAACTAAGCCGAAACTGTACATGGAAAATCTTATTGAAATAAACATTATTATCGATACAGAGACCGAATCTATAGTTTTTAGAATTTTTGTCTGTCTGTCTATCTCTTACCGCATCACAGAAAAACCACTGGAGGGATTTTAATGAAATTTGGTATGGTGATAGCTGGTTATCCGGGTCAACATATAGGATACTTTTTACCGCGGGAAAGTATCTCAATTCTGAGAAAAAATACAAAAACTGCAATGTAAGAGTATATTAATATGTAAAACCTAAGAATTTGGTTTTTGGTCATCTGAATGCGGGCGGAGCCGCGGGCAATGCTAGTAGTATGATATAATTATAATATGTACGACTATAAATAGGATTTTATGTGAAACGAGTTTAATATTGTTAGATAGAAATGGCTATCATCTGATGGACTATCATCGGAAGAGGAAGTGACTATAAATTTCAATCGTTATCTTCGAAATAACGTCAAATTACCCCAATAACTATTAAATTAGCGTTGGAAACATATCTATTATACATATTAAATAATAAATGTCAAAGAGCCAATTTTTAATTTGTGCGGTAGAATTAAGTAATATTTAAACAGATAACTTTTGATATGACAGTTGGTGTAGTTGTTGTCAAATGTCCAAGCTTTTATTAATTTTAATAATTAGTACTGAATTAAAAAGACTTAACGTGGTGATGTTATTTCTATTTAAAGTACATAATTAAATAGGATATTAACACCTCCAGGTAAATTTCTAAGAAATTAATTAAATTTCTAAGGAATCTATTGTTAACTGTAACGCCGGCGTGTCCGCGTTCGTTGAAGGATTATTATTATGATATATTATGGTAATAGCCAAATATTAAATAAGAAGAAAGTTAGTAAAATCTAACGTTAAGCATTCTTTCAAAGATCGTCTTTTCTATTAGATATACTAAAGCTTATTCAAATTTAAATGAATTAGTTATAGAGCAATTTCTCTTCTTAACATGGAATATAAGATGTTTATTTCTAAAATGCTAATACACAAACGTTCTCCTACTGTTGATACGATTTATAAGTAAGTATACGACCGTTTCGATTAGATCATCGAGGCT